CATTTCTTCATATACACTCTGTCTATCCTCTTGATACCTTATGAACTGCCTTGCCTCCTATTTAAGCCTGACACCTCTAATTATGTGCTAGATTTCATTTGCTCCACCTGCTCAAGGATACTGTACCAGCAAATTCCCCCTCGTTGGTTTTCCTCTCTACTGAATCATTCACAGACATACAACCATGTTGCATTTCTAAAGATTGAAAAACATCTTTCCTAGCCTCGTTTCTCCCTTTAATTAAACCCCCATTTCTCTGCTTGCCTCTTTACAAAACTACTCAAAATACTTGGCTACATTCATTGTTTCCATTATGCTTTTCCCATTCTCTCTCAATCTGACATCTATAAGACTTTCTTCCCAAATGCTCCACAGAAATAGCTCACCAATGATCTTGATAACTTTTTTATGAAACCCTGTAGTGGATTGGTGGTGAATCTCCTCATCTCAGTTGACCTAGCAGCAGCATTTAATATAATGGATTTTCCTTCTTAGAAACATTTCCCCTGACCTCAACTGGATTTTTCTGTGTATCTGAATTGATTCAAGCTGCTATAACAATCTGCCAGAGACTGGGTGACTTATAAACAACAAATATTTATTTCTCACAGATCTGGACACTGAGAAGTCTAGATAAAAGCACTGTTAAGATTTAGTGTTTGGTGAGGGCTTACTTCCTGGTTCATTCCCAGTCTTCTTGCTGTGTCCTCACAGGGTAGAAGGACAAAGGAGCTCTCTGGAGTCTCTTTTATAAGGGCACTAATTCCACTCATGAGAGCACTGCCTCATGACCTAATCACCTACTGAGGGCCCACTTCCTAATATCAACACGTTGGAGATTAGGATTTGAACATATGAATTGACAGTAAGTAAAATGGATCAGGGTAGTATAAGACCAGAGGTATTGAAAACAAATTTTCTAGGGCATTAGAGTCTCTGTATTTGTTCCAGACGGCCATTTGCAGGAGATAAGGGGATGCCAATTATGTACGTGGCTAGACCTCCATTATCTGCTTTTACCAGAGTGGCTACATTTCCTATGCTTAATATATTACATATTTGCATAAAATTAATTTAGAAAAACAGTTCCATTGCTTAAAGATGGAAAAGAACAATTTAAAGCCATAGTTGTAGGGAAAAGGTAGATTTGTTGGATTAAGAGAAAACTGAGTATAGATCTCACTTCAATCATTTAATAGCTCAGATATAAGGATTAAAAAACTACTATAAATGTAGTATCAAAAATGTACCAAGAAAGCATTTATTGCAGTACTTGACATACGATTGGATTCATAAATTGTAGTTATTATTACTTGGATTCATAAATTATAGTTATTATTACTGTTACCTTTTTTCCTGGCTATATTCATTTATTTCTAATTTATAAATATGAACCCAGTCTCGTCTAGGCTCTGAGAATCCAAAAATGAAAAATCTCTATTCTCAAATATGTAGCAATCTGGTAAGGAGAAAGAGATATAAATATTTTAGTTATAATAAAATAATTATTATATTGGGAATAGGTAAAGGGTACAAAAATAATGGGGTAAAGAATTTCTAAGTCACTCAAAAGTAATGAAAACTTTAGAAAGTATTTTATATGAAATATGAAAGAGTAATAGGAGTTTTTGATGTAGACAAGCCAAGGGAGCATATTCTAGGCAAAGGAAACAATGTATGCAAGGTCAAAGAGACACTAGAGAATAGAATATCCTTGGTGAGCTTTTATCGTCAGTATCACCAAAATATAAAATGGATAGGATGATGATAGATGTGCAGTCAGTATAACATTTGATCACAAAAATATTAAAAATATGGTTTTATTTTCTCTTCGGAACTATAGGTAGACACTAAAG